TTTCACAGAAAAACTCCTCCTAGCTAGAGTGACTTAAATGTATGGATTCTACATTATATTCCACTATTTTTAGCATTCCGCTATTATCAGAGCTAAAATGTCAGCCTTTCACATCGGCCCTGGCTAGATCTGAATATTTAAAAGAGGCTTCTTTTCAAACCTTTTCATGTTTTGCTGTTGATGCTACCCCTTGCCCCAGAGACTTAGAGGAAATAATCACTTGGTTTTGTTTTCCTTCCCTGTGAAATCCTCCCCAGTGTTAAGACTGTCTACCACTTTTTCCCTGACATTTTCTTTACATAGTGCTGCTTCTCTAAACTGATGGTCACAGAGTCCTTCTCAATAACATGGAGACAAAATGCTCTGCATAGCTGATAAATTATGAGCAGGCGCCGCGTGTTAGCTTGATGGATTGTTATAGTGAATGTGTGTGAGTCATGGGTGTTATTTTTGGTCGAAAGAATTGTGTGAACTTTTCTCCTCTATTTTGAGTGCTTTGAAATGTACTACTTTTCTTTTTTTCTTTCTTTTTGTTCTTTAAGGTGTATGTCAAGGAATTAGGCACCATATCAGAATTGTCATTTTCTAGTTTTCAAAGTTATTGTTTTAGAGTTGAGGAGGTGGAAGGACTGAAGAGAAAAGAATTGTGTGTTGACAAGTAATCCAGCCTGTGCAACCTAAAAGAAAATTACAGTCACCTGCTTTAAAGGGGGGCCTCCCCCACCTCACCCTACCCCAGGGGTCAATTTTAAAGCTGGGGTAGATTTACTGTGAATTCGCTTGGAGGCGATGTGATTCTAATTAACCATGGTTTTGCGGCTCCTGTAGAAATGCCTGCCTTTATTTTGGTCGATTTCTTTCCAGTCAGGCTGCAGAGTAAATGATGTTTGGCGATCACATCACTGGGTCTCTGAATCGCTGTTACCTAAAGCACCTCTGTCCTCTGCTTCATGCATCTTTCTGGCGCCTTCGAGGTATATACGGGGTGTGTGCCCTGCTCTATTATCCAAATACCTGCGAGCATCCTTGAGCTCAGTGCTATTCATATAGAAGCCCAAGGACCAGTGCCAGGCTGCAGGCTGCTGTTTCTGGTCCACGACAAGATAAGTGCGGAGATTGAGAGTAAGTGTTCAGGAACTTTTATAGCAATCTGACAGCATGATTTGATGTCTGTTGAATCTAACAACACTTGAGGTTTTATCTTGATGTCTTATTAAATTCATTCTCCTAGTAATTGATTTTTATTGTATTTTGCAAAAAGTACGGGCCTGTGATGGATTGGAGGTAGAGAACCAGCCTTTTACCACTGACAGATCAAGTTGTACTGGTCTAGCTTCTGCTGTTACCTTGGTGAGCAAACGTCAGGGTCTTCCCACCCACCTGGGGGGCTCAAGCCATATTGATTCAAAAAGGGAAGGTTAGGGACGTTGCAGATTTTTTTTTTTTTTTTTTTTTTTTTGTCTTTTGTTAAGTTTTCACGGTTACAAGCATTTCTTTCGGAGCATCTCTTCGCCGCTCAGGAGAAGGCAGGCTCCTGTGAAGGTGAATTTTGCTGTGTCTCCTGCAGATGGGGCACTGCGAGGCCTGAACGTGTGCAGGCACGGCCGGCTCCCTGGGGGCCGTCTTCAGGCCAGCACTGGGCTGCTCCTCCCACCCCTCCTCTCGTCCAGTCACTTCGCCCTGGGGGCCTGCCCCTCCATCTGTTGGGGAGGGATTATGCTTGCTGAGCTAATGTCTGGGACCTGTTCTGGAGTTCTGAGGAGGAAAAGCAGAGGCCGCCCACTTGTGATCCCTTGTGCTAAGGAAGGAGAGCTACGGGACTGAGCGGAGGAACCAGGAAAAGAACATCAGGAACTGAGTCATCTCCCCTTCACTGCAGTCTCGGTCCACCTGCTCTTGTGGCCTTGAACTGCTCTCCAAAATAGAAGTCTTGGATGTGATGGGGGAGAGGGAGGGAGGGAAGCCAGTGCCTTTTCCCCAACCTGGAACTTTCCCCAGGATATCCACAAGGCTCCTGCTCACTGTCTCTCCTCTTTCAAGTCTTGGTTTAAATGTGGCCTTCTCAGCGAGGCCTCTGTGTGCTTTTCCCCAGCACACTCAGTGCCCTTTGCTGGCTTTATTTTTCTCTATAGCGCTATCACCCAACTACTGGGTCATTATTTATTTTATTATAAAATAATGTAATCCATGTAATAGCCTCTGTTAAAATGTAAGTTTACAAGGTCAGGGGGTTTCATGTGTATTGCTCGCTGCTGTGTCTCAGAGTCTAAAACCATGCCTGGCACATGGCAGGTGCCCAGGAAATGTGAGTTGTATAGATTAATGGCTGAATGAGGAACAGTGAAGGGCAGGTTCACAAAGGAGCCAACCGTGTCCAAGGAGGCATTCGGCCACATCCACACAACTGTCCACTGAGTGATGGATTTGGAGCCACTGGAAGGGCACAGTCAAGGGGAGGTAATCAGCCTTCAACCAGCACCTACTGTATGCCAAGCACAGTGGTGGGTGTCCTGTGTTCATTATTCAATTTAAGTATCAAATCACCACATGAAGTATGTATGGTTAGCTCCCTTTTACAGATGGGGAAACTCAAGAGGTTAAGAAACTCACCCAAGGTCATCCAACCCTGTAAGTGGCAGAACTGGGATCTGACTTAGTCTATTGGATTCCATCAAGAGAAATTTCCAGAAATAGTCAGTCGGTCATGGTGTCTCTTGTTTCTTTGCTTTTCTCTCTATAAAATGGGAATTAATTTTCCTCATCCTTCACCAGATTTTTCTCTGATGAGAACGTAAATCTGGGAAAATTGGAGTACAGCTATTACAAGATATGAGCCTTGCAAATATGAGGCTGATAATTAGATCACGTTATTATTGAGTAAAACTGGGTGGAAATCAGGGCTTGGTTAAATCCAGCCAGTGGGGATGAGCTGGGTTTCTATGCAAGACTCCATGCCAGGCACTGGTTTCAGTGTTTGTATGTATTGTTATTATTCCAGATCCCTCCCTAGGCTGAGACCACAACCTCCAGACTCAGCATATTGTCTCTCATTTTAAAAATATTTAGGGAGCATCTACTAGGTGTTTGGGGCAGGTCAATAGAGAGAACAGTTCCTTGCCCTTTGTGAAACTTCTGTTTTAATAGGGAGAGAGAGACAGGACATAAACAGTAAGCAATAAACCATGAAGTAAATTACATGGTATGTTAGAGGATGGCATGTGCTATGGAAAAAAAAGAAAAAGTAGCGTAGGGGAAGGGGCTTGGGCATTCAGGGGGAGGTGGGCAGGTTGTAGTAGATCGAGTGGTCCAGGTGGGCTCCATTGAGGTAGTGAGCTTTGAACAAAGGCCTGAAAAAGAAGAGAAGTGAGCCAACAGGTATTCTAGAAGGAGAGCATTTCTGTCAGAGAGAACACTGCAGCAGAGCTGTGATGGGATCGTGCCTGGTAGGCATGAGGAACAGCAAGGAGGGGAGCTTGGGGGGAGCTGGGTGGGGTGGGGGCTACCTAGAGGGTAGAGACAGCCAATATCCCAGTAGGTGGGATATGTGAGATGAGATAAAGTGAGGCGTCAAGGATGAGCCAAGGTTTAATCTTTACATTCTTTCCCCTCTGTTCCCTTTTTCGTACCTAACGTAATCGAGTACTAGAGTACTACAACCAAGAGTATTAGGTTGCAGTCTTTGGAGATTTAGCCACCACAGTTACACTAGTCTCCTAATGTCTCTGGATTTGGGTTTCTTCATCTATAATGTGAAGGTAATCTACAAGGTAATCTTTAAAATCCCTGTATCGCTATTTCTGAATGATTCCTTCCCAGGAGTCATATTCTGCTTGCTTGCTTCCCTCCTTCCTTCATCCATTTATTCAACATGAATCTTTAAAACATTTGCTGGAGCACAAGCACTTCCTGGAGCAATGTACGCGATGCTGAGGAAGTAGAAAAGAGAACCGCTGCCTTTCGATCACTCACAGTCCTCTTGCTAAGGTTAGATCAGAATGCAATAAGCAAGGTGAGACTTAGAGCAAGTCACAGCTAGCAAAATACAAACGTACCATAGAACAAGAAGCCACGCGAGGCAAAGTGGAACGGTAAGTTAAAGGCTTCAGTGAAAGCTGAAATATGGAATACAATACAAAATGAAAGCTTGTACAGAGTTGGAGAGAGTTAGCAATTCCAGCTCAGGGAATCTGTGAAAGGGGCAGAGTGTGGTTAAAAGGTGGTCTTGCCCCCACGTGCTCTGGGGAAAGAGGCAGTGATGGTGTGAGATGAAGCTGGATTGAGATGGGGAGGCTGGCTGATAGAGAACCACCCACGTGGGCCAGAGGGATCTGGGTCTGAGCAAGAGGCAAATCTTAAGGAAGGGATGACGTCATGAAGATGCAACTGGAAAGTGATCATCCTGGCTCATTGGTATTATGGGCACTAGAATAGAGGAATAAGAAGGTGAGAAAACCAGCCCAGGAGACTGTTGAGTTACCTCTGGATCCTGATTTCTGAAATTGTTGCACATCACTCATCTCTTCTCTGGCTGCCTCATTTTGTGATCTAAATTCTGGGCATTGGGGTACTAATGAAAAGCTCATTAAACAAGATCTACTTGAAGAAAAAAACTGTCTAAACGAGGAAATGAAACTTTTCCTATCTTGTTGGCCCAAATTTTAGAATTGAACTCTATGTCCATTTGCAAGATTTTTAGTGAGGAGCACTTAAATATAATTTTTTTTAAAGCCAAATCTGACTGACGATTCCATTACTTGTCTGTGAGCCATCCTGGAAACAAAGAACATCCCCAAATTGAGGTTCATGGCCAACTTCATTTCCCTCCATGCAGTTGTAGTGGTGTGATTTGCACACTTGCTGCATTCATCTATGTGTCTACTCTAATGGGCTTTGTTTGGTTCAGCTGGGCTTGTATGCCAGCCTCAATAAGCCGAATAAAGCCCCACATTTATCCACTCCTCTGTTTCTGATTGTATTTCATAATGTGTTGATATTTCCAGGCTAATCTTGCACAACTATTGAGAGATTGTCAGGACCGAAATAAACATCTGGGAGAAGAAATTAAAGAACTTCAGCAAAGGCTTGGAGAAGTCCAGGGTGACAATAAGGTACCATGAATATTTAAAGGGAAAAAGCTGTGTTGCATAATTGTGCGCTAGGGGTTTATGTATAGCACTTCAGAAAAATGTAATGCGGCATTTGCTGAAAAATTTGTTATAGATTTTTACATTTGCAATGAAAATTCACAGTTTAGCATTTCTTATCTTTATTACATTCCCTTTGTGGGTGCGCGTGCATGCGTGTGTGTGTTTCTGGTTGCTCTAAAATATTGTCACAATCCCTTGTCGAAGTTTCATTACGTTCAGCTTGGTGGTAAGTAACATTGTGGTTGAGGGCAAAATAAAACCCAAATGCTATACTTTCCCCCTTCTATACAAATAATGGATTTGTGGCTCAGATGATTTGGAATTATTCGCATTCGGTTTTGAATTTTAAGTAGTCATCCTACTAATTATGTTCACATAACCAATTTATTTTATTGCTAAATTTGGCAATTTGTATGGAACATTGCTCAAAATCCACTGCTTGGTATTAATCAAACTCCCCTGTTGGCAACGTTAATTATAAAATATGAACTCATAAACTCCAAACTAAATGTGTGCACTCTCTCTCCCAGCTGAAGCTGTGAACAAAAGTACAATTGAGAAAAAGAAGAAAAACTACTGAAGTTTAATTCTGTCCCCTAAATAATTTCCCGTTTTGCCAAGACAGATTCATTTTCAACTCCTTGCCAGAGGTGGCTTTCGAAACAGAGATGGCCGTTAGAGTTTGACTCAAGAAAACTACATGGTGGGGAGGAAGTGCTCTCTTGGGAAATGTCTTTTATTTATTTATTTTTTGTGAAGAAGATAGGCCCTGAGCTAACATCTGCCAATCTTCCAATCCTCCTCTCTCTCTCTCTTTTTTTTTTTTGCTGAGGAAGACTGGCCCTGGGCTAACATCCATGCCCATCTTCCTCCACTTTATGTGGGGCTCCGCCACAGCATGGCCTGACAAGTGGTGCGACGGTGCGTGCCCGGGATCCGAACCGGCGAACCCCGGGCCGCCACAGCGGAGTGCGCGCACTTAACTGCTTGCGCCACTGGGCCGGCCCTGGAAATGTCTTTTAAACATTACCAAATTCCTTGACAAATGGTGGTGATGTTCATCGTTTCTGGGAGTTGTTGGTTATTGGGAGGCGCCATTTTGAAACATGCTGGCTCTTTAAAAAATGCGCAGCAGTATCTCGGCTATCCAGAGAACTCTTCCGTAACAAAAGATCAGAGAGGATTTTGTGCGTAGTACTGGCTTGAGAGGCTCCATCTGAGAGTATACTCGGGTCTTCTTTATGTAGCCTTTTCTCTACTTAATCTGCCTTAAAATTTTTTTTTAACCTCTTGGATTTAACATATATTTGAAAAATTAGGCTCTACACTTCTGGGTCATGAAATAGGGGGTGGGAGAGAATGCCTAAGAAAGGTTCTAATTAACACTGGACAAGCTAATCAGGCCCCTGGGGTGGTTTTGTGCATCGTTAAAAGGATTTAAACTCTGTAACCTAGGTGTTTGGTCAATAATTAAAGGCCAGACCTTCTTAGTCACTTCCTCAAATGATAACAGCAGGGTTTTCCAAAGAATAAAATGAAGTGTGTGCAGTAGTTTCCTTTAAACCCATAAAAATACTACAGGAATTTTGGAGACATTATAAACCCACAAAATATGGAAACATTTTGAAATGTGATTTTTGGATTCATGGTTTTTCTTGACTGACTGATTTTTTTTTTTTTTCTTATTTTCTTTCTGAGCTACCCCTGCCCCCAACCTCTGCCCCATCTTTGGTCGCTTTTAATTTTATCACCTTTTAGGCATGAGATATTTTTTTTTTTTCCCCCCTAAAGCCCCAGGCGATAGTTGCACATTCTTCTAGTTGCTGTATGTGGCACGCGGCCTCAGCATGGCCGGAGAAGCAGTGCGTCTGTGTGCGCCCGGGATCCGAACCCCGGCAGCCTGCATCGGAGCGCACGCACTTAACCGCTAAGCCACGGGGCCGGCCCTAGGCATGAGATATTTTATGAATTGATGTTTGCAACTTATACTTCAAGGAAAGAAAGGGAGGATGTGTGTGTGTGTGTGCACGTGTGTATATGACTGTGAATGTGTGTGTATAAATGTGTATGTGTGTATGCCCATATGTGTGCATGTATGTGTATATATGAGTGTGTGTGTATGCCCACGTGTGTGCACATGTGTGTGTATGTATACGAATGTGAATGTGTGTATGCCCATGTGTGTGCATGCATGTGTGTGTGTGTAACACTCAGCATAGGTCTGGGGCTTCTTTGGCATTGGCACAGTCTAAACTCCATGATTTCTTGTGCTTTGGGTCTTTATTCCAGAAGCTGGACACATTTATCAAACTCTATTTTCTCTCCCAAGGTTTAGGATTTAGTGACTCATATTCATGGTTTGTGAAGTAATTCACCTGCCAAAAGGTGCAAGGAAGATGTTATAATGTTCAGCAGACCCTGTATCTCGGTAGCCAGCCTCTCCCACTCAAAAAGACTGCCGTGAGCCGCAGAGATCCCATTTATTCTCATTTGCATCTGAAGTTATAGGGCTGGTTATTTTCAGCCCCTGTGAGTCACGGTCATTCCCCCCCCCCACCCCACCCCCAGTCATCAACATTAAGGCCAGATTACTCATTTGATAATGGCACCAGCATCTTGAAAATCTCAGAGGCCCCTTTTCAAAGCTGGCTGTGACTGTGTGATGGAGAATAGGTTAACCCTTCATTTGTTTTTTTGTTCATCATGTCACTCACTGCTCCAACCTTTCCACTGCCGCCCGAATCCAGTCCCACCTCCTTGCCATGGTGTGCCAGGCCCTCCATTATCTGGCTGCTGTTGATTTCTCCAGCCACATCTCTTGCCATTAGTCACCTCACACTTCAGCCCTGCAGTGCTAATATCAACCCCTTTGCTGAGCTGAATTGCCCTGTGCCTCAGGGCCTTTGCACCTGCTGTTTGTGCTGTCTGGAACACTCTTCCCCTTTGCTTCCCTTATAAACTCCTGCTCATCTTTCAGGTCATAGGTCAAATGTAGCCTTCTCTAATTCGTAGGGGCAGGTCCTGTGCATGCCCACAGTGCCCTGCTCTTTCACCTTTGCTTGCACTGTGGCACCGCCACCCCCCAAGGGTAAACTCTGCAGGCTGAACTTCTGACTGGTATACGACTGTATCCCTAGGAATTAGCATTCTTAGTTCCTGATACTTAGACATTATTTAATAAATCTTTATTGAAGGAATGGGATGGAATAAATGAGTGAATGAATAAAACGAATGAATAAAGGGAATGAGAAGAAGAGCATAGAGATCAAGAAAGAGGAAGAGAAAAAGCAAAAGTAAAAAGAATACAAGAAAATAAGCAGACTGCCACTCTGGTTGTCATCAGTAACTCTCTTTATGGGGGAGGAGTAGTTTAGAAATTTGGAGAAAGGAGCTAGAAAAGCAAACCGTTCCATCCAAGCAAAAACAAAACAAAACCAAACCCCATGGTCTGAGGCCTTGGGAAGCCCCATGCAGAGAGCACGGCGTCTGACGCTGAGCCTCATGGACACGGGTAAGGGTCCTGCTCATAGGCTGCTCAAGCCTGTTAAATTCAAGAACACTTACTTAGTGTTATTGTTGGACTCCAACTCCTCCCATTCCAGACAGAGGGCTGATGACATCGTTTTATGAGTGACTGTTAAAGGGGAGGATTTTTGTCTCCGAGGTGCCATTTTAATTCACGACCCTTATCCATATTTTGGGAAGCCCAGATTCTAGATATTAAGTGCATTTAAGAAGCAAAGTGATAGGAAATTACTTGCCTTGGGTATTTTAAGGTAGACTAATTTTTCCATTTGTTCGGCTAGAGCCTAGTCACCCTATGTGCCATAAAGCATTTCCAAATAGCCTTTTGAAAGATTTGTTGCCCCCTGGTTACAAGCAGCTTAGCACCCACAGGGGGTTGGGGGGTCTTGTGACAAGGCGGGTGGTCCCCTAATCAAACACCACCTGCCATCTCTCTGAACAGTGCCCAGGAATTTCTCGGGGCTCCCGGACAGACACAAATCCCCAATCCACACCAGAAGAGAGGTGTGAAAGGGAGCCCTATGGACCCTCCCTTCCTTGATAATTATAGCTTTGAAAGCTTACTGAGGGAAGAGGAGGTCTGTGGGAAGGGAGGACTCACATGTCCGCAAATCACCCTGGGAAAAGCTCCTCATGGATGGTGGGTTGCCCAGCGCTCTCAGTGTCAGTCTGTGGGGAAATAAGGACCAATTACGTAGAAAGACCCAGACAATACTGGGGCTGCAAGTCTGAAAAGCAGACCACTGAGAGAATTGCAGCTTGCCTTCCAGCCCCAGAGGTATGCCTGCTTCCTCTTCTGGGCATTAAGAAGATTGGATGGTGACAGATAAAAACTGGACTGTCACTGGTGAACATTATACAATCTATATAGAAACTGAAATATAGCAATGTACACTTGAAATGTACACGGTGTTGAAGGCCAGTATGACCCCAATAAAATAATTAAAAAGAAAAGAGTGGATTCAGGGAGAGGGAACTAGGAAAAAGATCTCTGAGAATTTAAGGATTAATAAGAGTCAATCAACAAAACTAGCAGAGTGCATTTGAATCACAAATATCAGAGGTGAGCTGGTGAACCAGCTGTCTGAAGGAGGAAGCCTGGGTGGTAGCACTTTGCTGATATTCGTGGTATAAATACTGATGCCATGACACATATCAGGCTACCAAAGTGACATCACTAAACTTGGAGTTGGAAAGATTGGCACTCCAGAAAGAGCCAGCTCCAGCCTGCCACTGCCAAGTGGTGTAGTGTAGTATTTTCTATCTTTGGAAATTGCTAGGCCCAGGTTTATAGTCTAGCCCTGCCAGTTATTGGCTGCATGGCCTTGCACAAGTCAATTTTCTCTTCAGGCTTCAGTTTCCTCATCTTTAAAATGGGAATAATAATACCTCATGTAGAATTATTGTCAGGTTTCATCATTTTTTCATCAGCACAT